CTCCGGGGTCGGTTAGTTGGTACCAGAGTTGTCTGGGAGAATAAAAGCACTGACTTGTACATCGGCTGGGCACCGCAAGCTTTCGTATAGGCCGCTTACGCATCCAACACACCACTACGATTCTAAATGGAAGACGAATGCGCAGCGTGTCCCTCAGCCAGGATTAATCAACGCCATAAGACTTTATCCTTTATCCTTTCACTTAGCACAAAGAGGTGTTCATGCACTATTGAACAGGAGTCGTGAATTAGGAAGCTCAACGAAGTGGCTAGAAGTACATTTCCTTTTTTTTGCAGAATCCAGAACCTTCCTTTGAAAGAGGGGATGAATATCAAGAATATCAATTGCATTAGAGCAGACAGCCGATGGATTATGTACTTTTATTGGAGAAACCGGCTATTTCCATGCATATTTATTGTCATTATTCACTATTCCCTCGGATATTTCTGAATTAATTTCCCTGTGGGGGTTAGCATGAGCTTGAGCTTTACGCTTACAAAGCGGTAAGTTGAAGCCTGCGAGTCTGTTGGTTGGAGGCCACCTTTGTTCACCTGTTTACCGCAGAAGGACCACTGTCCTCCAAAGTTTCTAATGACGATTATCCCTCTCAAAAGTATTTTCAGACTACAGATCTGAGGAGTAGGGCACCAGGCTCGTTCTAGATAACATCTATCTTTCATTCACAACAAGCTACCCTGTAGAAAAAGCGCTTTCGAATGGCTCTCAGATTTCAAGTATGTAGGTGATAAATGTGAGGCCTTTTCTAAATAATAGACGTAAAATGCCGAAGCCTCTCCGTTCATTCTTTCTAAAACTTCTGCCTCAAAACATCGGTCCATTTAGCCGGACAATTGAAAATTCGATAAATTTTCCACGATCCGAAACATGGCCTCCAACCGACCTCTTTGACTAGCCTCAGGTAAGGGGAATCAGGTCTGAAAATGTGCTGAGTGACATCTGTTCTATTTAGTAAGAGTAAAATCAAGACTTGTTGACAACGATGGGCTCCATATTTGTACAGGCGAACTCTGGACTTGCCCCAAAACCTTATCGCTCGATTTCTGAAGTATTCCACTAAAAAACATTATCTCGCTGGCAAAGTGCTTGGAGCTTTTCAACCGAAAGCATTGATAAGATAATGTTGTGTCGGTATTCAAGGCACGGAGAATGTTTTTTCGGGTGTTGCTGACGCGAAGACATCCAGGGACAGTGTTGTTCTTCTTTGTTTCTCCCGGCTGAGGCGCTATCGAGTGGCTGGGAGAGGACATTTCTTTTGGATAGCAATGACATTAATTTGCGTTTACCCTTTATATTTCATTAATGCCACAACTGTATCAGCCTAAAAATACGGGGTGCATCATAATTCCGTGCAAGAATATCTCCTGAAGACTAGGCAACGGTGGTCCAACTTGAACTGCCGTTCTAGATTATTTATAGCTGTTTACGGGAAGACCAGAGAGCCTGAACCATCTGAGAGCTGCTCATCCTGCAGCAAGAAAAATGGGTAGTGTTGAGCGTCTGTTCAGCCACCGAAGCCACTTTTGCAAATTCCGGACCTACCCCTTATATCCTCCGACCCAGAACTCGCACTCCATATTCAATCAGAGAGGAAAGTGGTTGACCAATTTCTCGTTCTCATTGGCTATAAAGGAACCGGTGGTCAGAAAAACTAAAAATTCAACAGGCGTCAGCGGTCTGTCCCTCTTCCGTGACCGAATGCTTCGTTGTTTTCTATCTGAACCTATTTCGTAAAGTTTCTATGGCGGCATTCCACAGAACGAGGAGACTGAACTCCTCAGCAACCCATGAA